TACTTCTGACTTTCTTTGTGCTCTACCTGTGCTGTCCCGCTGAGACAAGGCTCCTCATGTTTGAGCATAAAATATTTCAAAATTATCTAAATCTGTCAATCTAGGTGTCATTATGAAGGGCATATGTTTCTCTATCCATTGATGTAAGTTTCATATCCATACTTGCAGTACTTCGGGATATATAAGAAAAACAAAGTGCGACTTGCTGTCCAACTGCTTGCTATTTTGACGTTATTCTGAGTTTGTCTGCACTATACGGGTGTCGTCCCGCTGAGACAAGGCTCCTTGTGTTTGAGCATAAAATATTAAAAAATTATCTAGATCTTTCAATCTAGGTGTCCATATGAAGGGCACATGTTCTTATATCCATTGATGTAATTTTCACATCCATACTTGCAGTACTTTGGGATATATCAGCAAACCAAAGTGCGACTTGCTGTCCAACTGCTTCCTATTTTGACGTTATTTTGAGTTAGTCTGCGCTGTACGGGTGCTTCTCCGCTGATAGAATGCTCCACATGTTCGAGCATAAAATATTTTAAAATTATCTAAATCTGTCAATCCAGTTGTCCATATGAAAGGCACATGTTTTTCTATCCATTGATGTAAGTTTCATATCCATACGTGCAGTACTTCGGGATATATTATCAAAAGAAAGTGCGACTTGTTGTCCAATTGCTTGCTTTTTTGGCGTAATTCTGAGTTTGTCTGCGCTATACGGGTGCCGTCCCCCCGAGACAAGGCTCCACATGTTCAAGCATAAAATATTTCAAAATTATCTAAATCTGTCAATCTTGGTGTCATTATGAAGGGCATATATTCCTCTATCCATTGATGTAAGTTTCATATCCATACTTGCAGTATTTCGGGATATATCAGCAAAAGAATGTGCGACTTGTCCAACTGCTTCCTATTTTGTCGTAATTCTGATTTTCTTTGCGCTCTACGGGTGCTGCCCCGCTGAGACAAGGCTCCTCATGTTTGAGCATAAAATATTTCAAAATTATCTAAATCTCTCAATCTAGGTGTCATTATAAAGGGTATATATTCCTCTATCCATTGATGTTAGTGTCATATCCATACTTGCAGTACTTCGGGATATTTTAGCAAAAGAAAGTGCGACTTGTTGTCCAACTGCTTCCTATTTTGACGTTATTCTGAGTTAGTCTGCGCTGTACGGGTGCTTCTCCGCTGATAGAATGCTCCACATGTTCGAGCATAAAATATTTTAAAATTATCTAAATCTGTCAATCCAGGTGTCCATATGAAGGGCACATGTTCTTCTATCCATTGATGTAAGTTTCATATCCATACTTGCAGTACTTCGGGATATATCAGCAAAAGAAAGTGCGACTTGTTGTCCAACTGCTTGCTATTTTGGCGTAATTCTCAGTTTGTCTGCGCTATACGGGTGCCGTCCCGCTGAGACAAGGCTCCTCGTGTTTGAGCAGAAGATTTTAAATAATTATCTCAATCTGTCAATTTAGGTGTAATTATGAAGGTCACGTGTTGTTCTATCCATTGTTAAAGATTTCATATCCATACTTCCAGTACTTCGGGAAATATCAGCAAAAGAAAGTGCGACTTGTTGTCCAACTCCTTCCTATTATAGCGTAATTCTGACTTTCTTTGCCCTATACGTGTGCTGTCCCGCTGAGACAAGGCTCCACAAGTACAAGCATAAAATATTTCAAAAATATCTCAATTTGTCAATCTAGGTGTCATTATGAAAGGCACATGTTTTTCTATCCATTCATGTAAGTTTCATATCCATACTTGTAGTACTTTGGGATATATTAGCAAAAGAACGTGCGACTTGTCCAACTGCTCCCTATTTTGGCGTAATTCTGACTTTCTTTGCGCTATACGGGTGCTGTCCCGCTGAGACGAGGCTCCACATTTTCGAGCATAAAATATCTAAAAANTTATGTAAATCTGTCAATCTAGGTGTCGTTATAAAGGACACATGTTCTTCTATCCGTTCATGTAAGTTTTATATCCACACTTGCAGTACTTCGGGATATATTAGCAAAAGAAAGTGCGACTTGTTGTCCACCTGCTTCCTATTTTGGCGTAATTCTGACTTTCTTTGTGCTATATGGCTGCTGTCCCGCGGTGTCTAGGTGTCATCTAGGTGTCATTATGAAGGGCACATGTTCCTCTATCCATGAATGTAAGTTTCACATCCATACTTGCAGTACTTTGGGAAATATCAGCAATATTGTAGCAATTGTACAACTACATTTCTAACTAAAAACTAGAGAGAAGTGTTTGTAAACAAGTACAAACACAGAGCTGGTTCGGGACTGTTACACCCACAAAATAAGTATTGGCAATTGTGATGGAAAAACCGCAAACTATGAGAGAGTAAACATGAATAATTTAGTATTCTGGACGTGACATATACCCCCGACAAAGTGTCATTTTCAACAAATGCAATTGGATGTCTACTTCTGAAGATAATCT